GACTTGTGACCTGTATATCTTGTGAAGACAGTTCAAGGCGCCATGAACTGGCTAAAAAATTTTTCTTCTCAAATTTAATAATTACTCTTCTGTACTACCCTATTCGGGTAGCGGCCTTACCCATTGATTCCCCACAAACACTACGAGAGGATTGAAGTTTTCTCACATGTAATGAGAACAAGAGTACGTACATAAACATTACAAATGGTATACAGTTGAAGATAACTTAACACTGGTTCTATCATGCATCAGATATTGCAAGCGAATTTGCACTATATAGCAGCTTTTCCTAAAGAGACATCACGCTACAAATTGACATTTCCAAATCGGAGCGACAAATAAGAACACGAAAAAACAGATTTCGCGGACAACTCGAACTACGAGAGAAATTACAGCTTAAAAGAAAACAATGTAAAAGATGGAGACGATTAAAAGTCCAACCAGTTCACACCGTTTATGATAATAGATAGATATCGAAGTGAGTTATATAACAAAGATTATATTCTTGTGACCGCATATTTCACTTACGCGTGAAGGGACACGGCAGTATTAGAAATACGAAACCCTCGGTAAGTTCATTCCCTTGCGTTAGAGCCCTCAAAAATTTCCGCATTTTGGGGAATTTTCGATTCCTACTTGTCGGAAAAGTCCCATTTTTGCGCTTCCATTCACCTCTGTACTAAATGAAATGCCTGGTAAGTTTGTCAAAATCGCTTGTTCTCGAGAAACTTTCATGAACTGTCTTAAAAAAACTGGAAACACCATTCATAAACGAAGAATATCGATGCAAGCACAGATAGCCTAATGAGTTTGAGTAGCATGTGTATCACAAACTATGACATGATTCAGCAATCATCTATAGGGATTTTTTTTGGATTTGCTTACGCTTCTATATATGAGTCATAGGCTGTGTTCATATCACTCCCGGAGTTCGGAAACAGTTCCACAAAGCGCTCCAACTAAGCGCTGTGCTGGGACTTTTCCCGAAATTCGAAAACAGTATGAACGCAGCCTGTAAAGCCGACAGCGTGAAGCGTTCTAATGGGGATCACATTCCGCCTTAATCTCAATCCGGCCATGGCATGGAGGGAGACCGCGTCACTAGAGTTTTGCGTCACGCTTATGGCCTGCTTGCCTGTCTGTCTTCGATCTATTCGCTCTTCCCGACAGCGCGCATATGCAATGCAAAATACTAGTGCTGCGTGTGCGCGAACCTAGCAAACGATTCGGCCTGATCCCGATTGGGATAGACTGTACGCGATGACGTTCCAACTAAAACCAGATAGCAAGTGCAGGTTATCGAGTGGTTGGTAATGGCTGAAGGGCTATGGCAATCCGGATCTTAAAGGCAGTGTCCATGCAGATTGCCGTCTTCCGGTTTTTTACCTCCTCTGGGCCATTTCGTTGCGCTGAACACGGATTCGGCCTTTAAACCGCGCGAAAATGTCGAGAAATGCTTTTTCTGGAGCCTTCCAAATCAGACGTGCGGACGAGATTAGCGCGGGGTGACGCAGCATGCCCTGCATTTAGTCGTCGCCTGACGCGTCGTCGTACTCTTGTGAACAGCGATCTTTTCGAAAATGGTCAGATTGTTATTGTACTGCTTGTATGTTGTCCATTTATTCTCCGTTTATGTGCTTTGCGTCGTGACAAACCTTTTCTTCTTATTATATGTGGATTTTGATTCATTTTATCGTGTTGCAAAGCAGCAGAAGCCCTGCGCCTTACTAGTGTGGCCTCCGTTTCTGTCAGAGCCACTAGCAGAGGCAGCTAAGCAGACGCCTATGCAACTTAAAGAAATCTGTGTGCTGTCCCCAAGCGGCAATGTTTATCGAAGCGATCGGGAGTCGTTTATAGCATGGAATACTACTTTTTGTTGAGGTGAGTATCATGGCTACATCTTTTACGCATTCCTATTGTTATTTGCAATTCTCTTTTCCTCAAATGTTGTAATTATTTGCGCTAAGTGATAGCTTTTCGTGAATGTGAAGTTTTTTTCCATTTCATCTTGCTAAAGCTATCATTTAGTGTGAGAGGTGAGGAATGAAAGGTCAGATGTTTGCTGTAACTTTGTTGATGATATTTATGTTTTTAGTAGAACCTCCATGTCTGTAGGATTTATAAATCCAGGATAATGTAACAGTATATGAAATGTGAGGTGGGTGCATATAACGGAAGCGGTAAATTGTCACATAGATTATTCTGCTATGATTTATAAAATTTTGCAAAAATCACTAAAATTTTGCATTCACCGAATTAGAGGGAGTAGATGAGATGTTCGAAGCCATCATCGAGGAAGTAAATTTTCTTATATGACGAGTTCTAAGAGTTTTGTGTCATACATGCCAATTTCCTCATTACTACTTCAGTGCCGTTATAAACTGGCAGAATGTAGGTAAGAGAGAAACTTGAAGAGCCATATGAACATTTGATCGCATTATCATCTCCTTCCGTAATAACCACGTTTTCTGTAGGATATCTATTTTAGATTACATTCTCGCCACGTTCGAATTTGGGACAGCTGTTGAATTCTGAAGGTTTCAAAGAAGACTTTTTGGTTAGTCTCCTTGTACACTGAATTTTTGCAGAGTTTTTCGTTTACGTTTTCGCCTTTCTTTTTCTTTTCTTTTTTTGAAAGAGTGACTTTTTGCTGTGGATGTTTTTGACTGCCCTCGCAAGCTCCATGTCTATGGTGCGCAGAAGCACGCCGGCATCACAGTTTTCTTCACCCTCCTCCCGCCATATACCCTTTAGCCTAGTCTTGCCATAGTAATCGTGGTCATTATTAGGAAGGAGAGGATATGTTGCTAGTCTAGATTATTCCAATAGATCCATCTCGTCTTCTTCAGCAGGAGATTCTGCGGAAGAAAACGAGAGATCCATCTCGTCTTCTTCAGCAGGGGGTTCTGCGGAAGAAGACAAGAGATCCATCTCATCTTCTTCAGCAGGATATTCTGCGGAAGAAGATGAGACGGATCTTTGCAAGCGTAGAGCTTCATAAATCTCCTTTCGCCATAAGTGTTTTCCTGATGTTTTGTGCACAAGCTGCGATGGTTTTTCATTGTATTTTCGGCGGACATCCTCAACTCTTGTAACAATCCGGTCGCCGCTAAGCTCCTCCAATGTTAGGGTGTTCATATGTAACATTGACATTGTCACATATGTTGGATAGGTCTCTTCTGGGCTGAAAAAATCCTTCGTAATTTGAATGCTTACTTTGTTCTTGACTACATAAGCAGGGGCGTACTGTGACTCACAAAAATACTTTTTTGGGGCAGTATACCCTATCCAGCCCATTCTTGCTTTCGCATTGGCTGGTCCCCCCGTATGGACTAGTCCTGGCAAGATCGGTTTGGAAAGATGGTTTTAGCAAAATTTATTTCAATTTATTATGCGCGGGACTGTCCGTCGGTATGAGAGGATTTTCGCTCTCTGCTGACAATGCATTATGTGCACACTCCGTTATCGAGCCTGTGAGGGGGTCCTGCAAAACTGCACTTGTGCCTGTCGCAGCTTTTGTCTGGAGATACCTGGTTCCATCGGTGGACTCCTGCAACATGATAGAGACATGCGTTGAAAATATCTCTTGCAAGTGCTGTCGCTCCCCCCTTTTCGATTGCGGAATATGGATGCGTTTTGATAGGATCTTTCCATTTTTTAGCGCCTCGCAATCCTTGTTTTTAGCTGCCTAAATGCCTATACTACATATTTTTTGTGATGCATCAGTCTTACAGTGCGGAGGTTGTTGTTGATGTATTTGGCTAAATGCCATGGATCCATTAGTCACTTGATATTAGTACCAAATTCTGCATTGAACTGTCTGATCTCCACCCCGTAAGTGGTGCTGCGATCCGTGACACTGTAGCTAGGGGGATGTTCATTGCTTGAAACCATCTCAGTAACCGGTGGAACCCCTCGTTTTCCATCCTCCCGCTGACATCAGCTGTAAAATCTTTTCTCAAGTCGCACAAGGTATGATCACCACTTCTTTCAACACCTGTCTCCGACGAGTGCACGATCTCCGTGTGTATGCAAAGTTTAGTTCTAACATCGACCGCCAGGACCTTGCAGAACTTGGCGCTAAATCCTCTTGAGTCAAGAGACCCATCAACGGCTATGTCCCATGGCTGACGACCCTCTTCCTAGATTGTAGCTTTATGCGCATAACATCTATCTTTCGATCTTTACCTCATAGGCGGCCTTTATTTTTTGCAATACTTTGTTTTTGTGGTTTTCATACACTGAGAATATTATCGGCCGCAGTTCTTTGTAGATATTTTAAAAGGTCGATTTGCAAGGTACCACCGCGCCAAATTCATTCCCCCACTGTCTTAGTCTCTGAAAACCCTTTGTACAGAACCGCAATAGATCAACAAGTTTTTTACATTCATCCGAAGTCCGGTAGTGATTGCAGCTGCGCAGGCCATTGCATTACCCGCGTACTGCTTTGCGTCTCTTCCCGAACCCAGTTTTTCCTGGCCTTCCCAACGCTGTTTCCTCGCCAGACCCGGCACTCTATACTCTATCACTGGGGCACTCTCAGAAGAATCGAGTCAAACCTCTCTCAAGTCCTCACAGCCACAGCTGGAGAGATGAAAGAGCTCCAAGAGCTTTTTTCCCTGCACCAAGAAATAGTGGTCCAGAAGGGCTGGGTCGGTTCTTTTGAGCGCTCCTTCTTCATCAGACTCCGACTCCTCGGGCTCATAAACAGATCCAGTCTGAATTACGCAAAAAATATTTCTCGTAACATTATTGTGGCAATCCCGAAATTAGGTTTAGTCTAACCGTAGTCCTCGTTCTGTTGGAAGATCCTGAGTCATCGCTCCTAACAGATGGTGTTCTTGATCTAACAGGTTCTTCTACTACCTGAATTCTGATGAATTTTGCAGTCATTTTGGGCTTGTAACCACTACCACCTCCGGTTGTTCGGCTTGTTCCTCGTTGGGATTGTCAACCTCCACTTCCTCTGGTTGTTCGGCCTGCTCCATTTCCTTTGGTTGTTAGGCCTGCTCTTCGTTGACATTGGCTGCTTGCAGAACGTTCCAGCGACCCCCGTCACCAAAATATTTCTTCATGTAGCTGTTTACATAACAGTTGACATCCCTTGCTGTTATTACGATCTCGTCCTGATAAATACAGAACTGATTCTTATCACCCCTATAGCTGGATAGACTAACTGTAAACGCTTTTATCGCCTCGTTCAAGCTAAGAGTGATGTGTGCAGGTATCTCTCCTTCGTTGAGATAAGTAGTACCTTCTGTCGTCTTCGACAATCTCCCACCACTCACTACTATCTCCGCCACAAGATACTGCGCCTGTAGGATTTTCTTCTTTCGGGATGTAGAAGTTTGTTTTGGATTGGGTACTAGATGACTTACAGCATTTATCGAGTGATTGATGCAGACCATCTTTCGTGTCTTCCTTGAAAGTTTCGAAGCAGAACACCAGATGTTGTACTGGGATTGAGGTGTTGTTTTTGAACGCTGCCAAAAAAATTGCATTATGAGCAGCATTTGCGGACGAACGAGCCATGAATTTCTCATCGCTCATGTTGCCGCACACAACACAGGAGTACCTTGGCATGTTTGCTAGTCTTGAATAGCTTGGACCTAAAATCCTTTTATTATCGGACCACAATTTTAGTGGCGAGGTAGCAAGGGTAAGCATCAAACAGCATTTTCTTTTTGGAAAAACATTGTCTGAATGTTTATTTTCTTCCAACTTGTTCCATCTGTGACTATGTTGTTATATTTATAGGAAGATGATCGTTGAGACATTTTGTCGGCAAAGCTTGCGTGTTTCATAGAGACGGTACACAAATGCTACACGAAGAAAACTCATTTTCATACCAACGTTTCCTCTGGTGTCTAGGACAATTTCACCTTGATGCTGTTGTATGTCAACATGAATGCTCACTTGTCTAACATAGAAATATTTATAGTGTGTACCCCCGCCCTTCTCAGATGTGGTCAATTAAGACAGTGGATTTCACGTAGCTTCAACTTGAAAGAGAGCATTGCTCTTTCTTACGTTGTTTTTTCGTAAAAGTGTTCGAATAATCTGAGGTAGTCTTTTGTTTGAATACCTTTTACAAAAAACGGGTGTCTACTAGTCGATTTTCCATGTTAATGCTCAATCTCTGCGCCCGAGAGAAATTCCATGGCTTTCGATTTTCGTGTGTCAAATGCACGTGTTTTAGCTAGAATGTGAATTTTGCGGTTATCAAATTGAATGCAAAATTACTTTGTGTTCATTGTAAGCTACTATTTTCAATTGCTACTGCAAATAAGAGTTCCAAACCCCTCATGGAAGCTCACACAAGCCTTGCGTACCGTAACAGGGGTTCAAGCCCTGCTTTTGCACGTGGTTTTCTCAAAAGTGGACTGAAAAGTTGGCATTCTCTGTCCTCGATTTTCTGCGTAAAGTGCATTACTACTCACCGACGAAACGAAAGGCAGCAGAAAGGCCGTATGCCTGGCGGGGGCATACACTATATGAATACCTTCCCTTCACTAATCTAATCTCATTACTTCTGCATATTACATTAATGTGAGGCTCATTTATTATCACTTTCAATTTACAATAAACAGCTGAGGAGAATGACATACATATGAACAACAAACAACATCAGCAAACGTATGTGTTGTAGTTTTGGTTTTTTCGTTTACATTTCGGACACCAATCCTCTTTTTCAGGGCGTTCGCAAATAGCACCTATAATGCGCCAATAAATAGTGCAAATCCGAAACTATGCCGTAAATAACACAGACCTTTCTCACATCCAACGCGTAGATGTAATCTGGTGGGTCAAGTAGAATGTAGATCATCGTTCTGCCGTGTAAAGCTGCAGCAGTATACATCCGATCGCTTGCTATACCTAAAGGGTAGTAGCAGCTGACAAAATCGACCACATAGCTATCATTTTGGATCAATATGTGATGAGAGAGAATGCAATATAAGGCGGCAATTGGAAATGATAGAGCGAGCATCAACAGGAACGATTTGAAATAACTTGTAGCAGTAAGAACATAAAAAATTACTTAGACAAGCTTTCAAAGAGACAAAACTGGCCAACAGAACTCCCTGACGCAGCCGAAAGTTCTATGCATCTGCCTTTTGCACGGAAGGAAACAAATCGTATTCCGATAACCAACAGTGATAAATTTCGGATAAGTGAAGAACTGCAAAAAAACACTGAGATAAGGCAAGATACAAAGTGTAATTGTAATGAAAAAGCGCTAGATGGATTACCTTTCTTATTCCCAACAATCTAGTCATGTTTCTGCACTTCAGCAGTGAAAGCTAAGGTTTTGCTCGCTTCTCCTTCGGAGAGCCCTGTATAGATCGTTTGCTGTTCTTGACAGATAAGCTCACATTCGAGAAGCGGAAACGGACCAGGAATGCAATCCTCAGTCTGAAAAAACTACATTTTCTCCAAAGTTGTTTCACCTAAGACTTACAGCATCGCATCTTCATGAAAGCTTAGCTGCGTACTTCTCATTCGCCAACAAACAACTCTTCTTGGATGAGGATGCGAATCAAATCATTTGCTAATTTCATACTGCTAGTATTACAAGATGAAGTTGATTTGGCGTTGTTTCCTACGAGGCGCCAATTGACAGTCGCCTACCGTAATCCCGCGACCTGCACATCTAGGGGAAATCGGCAGGTGGGCGGGTCTGTTCGGAACGCCCACCGTTAGGGCTGTTCTGTTCAAGCTTCTGAAGCAATTTTCTCGCTTCAGAAGCTACGGCTTTTGGTGGGAGTTGGGCTATTGCAGTTCCTGGGCGGGTACTCTTGTATGCTGCTTTATCTCATCATCTTCACATCTGCATGGACACTGCCTTTAAGCATAGTTCAAAGTTTATTTATTGATGATTTTATTTGAATAAAGCTGAATGTTTGTTTGTATGTGTGTCTCCGTGTCTGTCTGTACGTATGTCCCAAATAAAAATTTTTATTTCTGAACCGATCCGGAAATAACTTTGCACACATACACCTCGGGAGAGGAGAGGGGAGGGCGTGTCGTAGGCTACGGTCATCAATTAATAACGATTCTGTCGTTTCTGCAAAGTTTGAGCTGCGGGGCTGGGAGTTGGCACAGGGGGGGGGGGGTAAGTGAGCGTAATAATTGTAAGATATTTATTGGCAGGACCAGGCGGAGCCGGGTTTGCCAGCTAGTCATTAATAAATGGTTCTCACTTTTTGCAAAGGCGACGCGTACGTGCATGGTCCATGCTAAATTATCAAGAATCTTGTTGAAGTCCATTGCAAAACTCAATTAAAGGAGTGTGCGGGCAGATTTGAGGCACTTCGACCTCAACACATTGCTAAAGCAGGCTGCCCTGGCAGACCATAGCCTTGTCGCGAATGCAAAATATAGCTTCAAAGCGAGAACACAGCTTGAGAAGTCTAAACAGATACGCCCTCATTTCAGTCGTCCTCATCGAAGCAAGGAATCGTGCTGGGACGCGGTAATCATGCTGTTGCTGGCTGCAGCAAGGAGTTCTGCCTTGTTTCCTGCTTCGGTAAGGACGAGATTGAATAGAGGCGTATCTGTTTAGACTAAAGCTGTTTTCTCGCTTCAGAAACAATATAATCTCAGTAATTTGTTAAAATGAAGGTGCTCCCCAATCTGTCAGGGCACTGACTTTGAAATTGCGATTTTGATGCTATTGCGATTTATACCTGTTTCTTTTCATACTTTATAAAGTTATTTGGTGAAGTCTCTGTCAATTCAACTGCTTCTGCATTGCTTTAGAATAATCTAACAGGAATCCTGCTTCCACCCTGGTGTGGAGTTAGTCCGCCGTGCACGCTCATGTAACAAAACTCACCTTTCCTTTGATGTCGTCTCGTCTTGAATTTGCTTCCTTCCGTCCTCACATTCGATGACCAGCAGATGAAAGAAGAAGCTTTAGCGTCTTACAGGATTATGGAAAAATAGTAGGTCGAAATACGATAAGCTTCCATTTTTTAGAAGTGAATAAACTGATATATTTAGTTACACAGTTAAGAACCCAATAAATCGCCACAAAAAGTAGCCCAACATGACCCCCAATGGTTCGTGCTCAATCGGCGCATGCGCAGAGCCTTTTATCGATTTCGATTACATACAACATGTGCGCCTCGCGTCGTGATCGCTTTGAAACCTACCGCAAAGTGCTATCATGAATCGTCGTAAACAACTACTCATTCCCTGAATTTTTCCATGTAAGATGAGTGATTTTGGGAATAGCAAATTTTTTTGCAGAGGAGCAAATGCGAATATGAATCAAATACCGAGTTTGTCTTGGCTTCACAGTCACCATAAGAACGAGAATCGCCGTAGAACATATCTCTAGGCAATGATCTTCCTACTCAGATACAGTCTGCCCCAATCGGGATCAGGCATCAGGCCGAACCGTCGCCTGAATTTGCGCGCTCGCAGCACTGGGGGATTGCGCTGCATACGCGCGCTGTCGCAGAGAGTGAAGAGATCGAGGAGAGAGCAGACTAGCTAGCCGCAGATGTGGCGCGAAACCCTTGCGGCGCGGACTCCCGCCATGCCGATTTTGGCCTGGTTAGGATTGGGGCAGACTGTACTTTTTCCGGCTGGTGACCGGGCGATGACCGGCTGAGGCAACACCTCAATTCCGGGCGAGCCGGCCGCCGGCCGCCCGCCAGCCGGTGTTGGCACGCAGACGGCGCGGACGCCAGCCTGCCTCCCAGCGCAGCGGATTATTGGGGCGCGACCCGCAGGTTTAGCTTCGTTGACTATATTATTATTCTAGTCATATAGTGTTATACAAAAATCTCTTATAATATTAGGTCGTTCCGAAAGTTCTTTCCGTTTTTTCAACTTATCACAAAAATACGCGAAATGAAGATAGGGAAACGATTCAGGTACTTCCGACGCAGCTTTTCTTCCTCTTTTCAACTGTCATACTCCTGTGCGGCTTGCTCTCATGATCAGTGAGATAATGGCCGAAATTTAGAACCCATGGTTTTTACCATGTCCAGCTTTGGCAATTTTTCACTATCTTCTTTTTTGCCTTTTGGAAAAGCTTTGACAGCAGTCGGATAAAGTAAACAAAGTGCAATTTTATGCAATTTTTCGGCATCTATAGCTAGCCTCGAAACATTTTTAGAATATTTTTCTGATGCTATCAAATTCCACTTTTGGGGATGCCAAAAGCCACAGAACATAAAACGGCGCACAACTAAGGTGGCATTCGATGCAGCTTTTTCTCTTCTTTCTGACAAGTACTTTCTCTTATTAGTTTGTGGGGTCTTTGGCGATAAAATTTCCATAAATCTTGATTTTGAACCCGCCTCATGATGTATCCGTGCAATGCAAAATCTTATATTTCGAAGCGGTAAACGCTCAGTTACTTTGTAAAAATAGTGTGCAATCATAAACGACTTTTAAAAGTGTTGGAATCCGAAGATTTGTTGATGTTCAGAGCGCTTGTGTGTTTTGTGACTTCGAAAAAGTGAAGACTTCTGGAAAAGTTATCTAAAAAAATAATGAGAAGCCGGCTGAAATTGCCAAAAAATTGCATTGCATTGCACTTTGTTCACTCTATCTGACTGCTATCAAAGCTTCTCCAAAAGTTAAGAAAGAAGATAGTGAAAAATTGCCAAAGTTGGACATGGTAAAAACCATAGGTCCGAAATTTCGGTCATTATCTCAATGACCACAATAGCAAGCGGTACAGTAGTATGACAGTTGAAAAGAGGAAGAAAAGCTGCGTCAGATAGTGCCTGAAGCATTTTCCTGCCTTCATTCCACGTGTTTTTATGATAGTTTGAAAAAACGGAAAGAACTTTCGGAACGACCTAATATTTTATTCGATATTTACGAGGGACAACAGAGAAGACACGAATTATGTTCAACATATGTACAACATACAACATGTGTAAACACAATATAAAGAACATATTGCATTACATATGGTGCATTCTCCAAAAGTGCTCCCATCGGACCTTCAACGTGGCTGTCTTTCGATCACTTCAACAGTCAGCTTCGGATAAGCGCCTTATTTGCTGGAGTCAACGCGTTGAAACGATCAAAAGACAGGCACGTTGATGGCTTATATGGGAACAATTCTAGGATGCACGACACAAACAACGAGAAAACATATAGCCGCGTGTACCTGCAAATAAAGATTATAGGAATCTTATGAAGATGAGAGCCAACTGCAGTAGGCTACAGCAGCATTGTGGCATAATTGAAGTTATGTTATTCTTCCGCGATAGAAATCCATATGCGCATTACATATTAACCATATATTCATTACAAGTTCCAATTCTAAAGAGGAAGATTAAACAAGAAACAAATTGCTCACCTGTTGCAGTATGCATGGACAGCACAGATGAACAGACTATTTATTTCCATATGTGTCCACTAATTTTCCAGACAACCATCAATAAATAACCAACCATCAACTTGTTAGAGCACTCATTATATAGACAATGTTCTCCGGAGCAGAAAATTAAGCAGATAATCCAGGCTCAACCACAGCAGAAACTCATCATTAGCAGTCTCAAGCATTACAACTTGTGAACTAACGCACTCCAATCTAAAAAATGTTTGAGGATATGCTGGTCGATAAATGTCAAACATGTATCTATGAAGGTCCTCCTTTTTCGTGAGGATGAAAGCAGACCAAATGACCAAATAACAAAGGGAAATCACATGAAAACACTAGTAAACATTTTTGAGCACAAACAATATGACAGCTTAGTGACGACATGGAACCTTTCCTACTCAGACAATTGGAAACTCTCAGCGGGCAGCCACAAAGCCGCCACCAATCCCCACCAAAAGCCCCCGCGCCTTATCGCTGCTACTGTGGATGCCCGCTGAATGCCATGTGGCTTCCACATCACTGCCGCTTCATAGCGGCCCGCTGACTGCCAGTTAAAGCAGCCCGCTCATTGCCATCTAAAGGATCCCGCCCACTGCCGCTTATAATAGCCCGCTCAATGCCATTTAAAGTAGCCCACCCACTGCCGCTTATATTAGCCCGCTCAGTGCCGCTTACCGCACTCTCTCCTTTTCGGGATCAACTACTCCTTCTGTACTTGCACTATAAACAAGCTGGGCATCATCTTTTATTAATCAATTGGCCGAAACAACACGATACTTCCAGTTTAGTATAATGCAATAAGGCACATAACAATAACTCAACGAGGAACAGATACAGAGGAAAGAAATCAACTCAAAAGATCATTTAGAGTGTCTTGATACACGTACACGTAACGATACCTCAACAGCGAACAAGATAAAGATGAACGAAATGAGCTTACATTAATTGCCAACCTATACTGCAACATAAGAGGTAACAGCAAATCAACGAACAAGATGCAGATAAACGAGATAAAGTCAAAATGAACGATCAAGGCATTGAGGAGAAATGAAGATGTCCATGCGGGAAGTGGTTAGAGGTGTTCTGCTCCAAACAAAATAATCAGGACTAACCATTTGACGGTTTTTTAATGCATACCTTAATCGATTCGACAGCTTACTCAAGCGACAATGCGAGGTATGCCTGGTTTTGGTTCTGCAGTTCTCTGAGTTCCATCACTGGGTTAGTTTCTGGTGCTGTTCTTCTTCTTTTCTGGAAATAAACTGAGTCGCTTTTTGCAGGATTATAAGAGATCAAGAATTTTTCGAGAACTACTCACCGCGTGTGACAGCCACTGTTTTTTTTCCATGTCGTATTCGTAAGATCTGATATCCCTCCTGCATAATATTTACTGATTTTTACTTCAACCAAACCTTAGAATATAAAACTCACAAGGCAAGCTGCATCCCTTTTAGTATTTCGGATTTGTATAAATCAAAATCGGCTAACAACTCGTCTAATTTCTTCTGGCGGTCCTTTTCGTTTTCGCCAAGCTCGATGTAGAAGCTAGAAATTTGTGTTTTGATCCTGATAACCATTCGTTCAAAAAAGCTACCGTGTCCTTTCATTTGCCGCTCTTTTTCCAAGCCTCAACTGGGGATCGCCTAACCCGATCAAATCCAAAGCAAAATCTGAAATCGGAGTCAGTGCGATGCTAATGTCTCCACAGTACTTGGTGTAAACATCCCTACCTTGGAGTGTCACTTCCACTGCGGCCGGTAAATTTTGCAGGTGCTTTTCCCTCCCAGCCTTACGATGATACCTTATAGCGTAATTTTGGATTTGCTGAGGAGGCTCCGTCAGCTGAAAGTTGTCCAATGATTAGACGTACTGCGCGCGTAGGGAGAAGTAAACCTGCTGGAAGATAAAGCGAAATACGCGTGCGAAGTTCTGATAGCATGGCTCAGTGTCGTTGAAGCTAAAGCGCACCAGCAGTTCAGGAATTTCGACCTAAACCTCTCATTTGCGCGAGTAGTGTATAACAGCCAGTGACACTTACGCCTTTGAATGGTGCTGCTTCGTCTAATTTCCAAGGCCTTGTCAGATTATTTAGGGACAAGACACGTGTTTGTCCGTGTGTATCCTTTGCTTTCCGTGGCTGTGATTCGAATGAACGCGCTAGCCGATCGTACTTCGCGATTTGTTCATTCATTTACTATCGTCCGCACATCAAAATAATGTCGGGATTCTACAAAAAGTGATGATTATGAAGCAAGAGCAAGGACGGATGACCATCTTTTCAATGAGTCATCGTACAGCTGATGGTGCTATCGCGCTTCCGTATCTTAAGGGCCTAGCATACTCTACGCGATTTGGCAATTCGCCAGAACTCTTCAGATGCAACACTAGCAGACTGCACATGCATGGTGTGTATGACTTGAGTGGGTTGATAAAATATGCTTTCTTTTGTACATTCAAATTGTGCCTACAATGAGTTACGGACAGCTGAAAACCGCGTCGCGAATGAAATCGCTTGAAGTATGCCCGGCCCCTTATGCAACAACCATCAAAAGCAAACGAAAGTTATGGTAACTCACAAAAACACGAACTAAGCTTCAATCTTCAATGTCTTCAAAGTTCAAAGAATTCAAACTGGAGAAAGTACGGCACCCACTGTCGTGGAGAGGACATATACAGAGAAGAAGCTAACAAAAGAAATTCTCTCCAAACTACACACCACGATCTCATCATAAGAGAATAGTGGTGCCATATTTGTTAAGCGATATTCTGAATGCAATAGAGAGAGAAAATCTGTGGGAAAGCAAATGAGATACATACAAGGATGAAATTAAGACGATAAGCTGGGATACTGACGGACGCACAATAAGAATCAATGACTAATGACGCCGTGCTCTTTCTTGCAAAAGACACGTATCTACATGTGCACAGATGAGCACTGCACAAATCAATCGATACCAGCCAGATACAAGAAATCGGTGCCCGCTCATAGTATCTTCGCGACCCGCTCACAAAAACCTTGCTTTCGCAACCCCATCGCTTCCTGGTCGTTGCCAACTAGCTGTTATCGGTGCCTTGTCGTCGCCTTCTGGGTGCTTTTGTAGCAATAACGCGCTCTGTAGTTATTTTCTGACTCACGCAAGTTTATGGCAGCCCGCTGATAGCCTGTCGCTGCCCGCTCGCTACTTTTTCCGAGTTATCGCCGCCCGCCCACTGAAACTGCTTGCTATCGCTGCCCGCTAAGAGTTTCCAATTGTCTGAGTAGTCTGCTGAAAATGAAAACAAAGATGAGCGATGAAACATGACAATACACGAACAGCATGTAAAGAAAGACATAGTACCACAAAAATAATCACGAAAAAACAAGAATCAAAAGGTCTTGTAAGGCGCGTAGTGATGATGGAATCGCATGCTCACTACTGGATCTGTCGGTATTCATGATTTTTGTGCGCCTTCGCGCGCTTTTGCGGACGCGACCGGAAGCCAGCCGGTGGTAGTTTCTAGCCCGCTCCTCGGCCGGTTTTAGGCTCCGCCCCAAAACATGGTGCGGCCCTCGGCCGGAAGGCCGTCATCGCCCGGTCGCCAGCCGGAAAAAGTATCTGAGTAGTTACTTGAAGAAAAATTTTACAGAATGACAACGCACGCGATCATTCTTTTATAGGGCCGTTTTTGCGAGGAAATAGATTTTTGATCATTTTTGAGCTGAAATCAATGGAATGTATATTTGCTTTCCGAACAAATTCATCACCTTACATAAAATTTTGATGCCGCCCCAGTTCTGCGGACAAAGACAGAAAGACGAACAGGCAAACGCTTAGCGCTTTATTATAAGTCTTGATACTAGCTGGTATGCCCAACCCTGCCGGCTGTTGCGTGATGGAAAAGCTACGCCATATTGATGCTATAGTCGTCCTCTCCCATTAGTCGCTAGATGGGCAAATTCGAAATCAAATTTCAGCACGCCGGTTGCGATAGAGAGCAGCTTCTCCAGCCCGCAGTTCAGGCCTACGCATGTTTTGTTTTTCGTCGCTGAGTGTTAATTTTTGAGTTCCAACAATCTTCGTGGTCATGATTGAATCATGAATTATTTTGTTATAAGAGTTTTATACTATACTCGTTTTTTCAACTCTAATTTCAGGTGCATAGTCTTGGAGAAACGATGATAATTGATTTTTTTGTATAATTGCTTGTAATTGCTCTTCTGGGAAGCAACTGCGTTGTAGTGATGCTTTAGCGTCTGAAGTCGCAAATTCCCATCCGCATCATTTCCCCAAGTTTACCTGGGGTCGGAGTCAGAAATACGAGCACAGTAGTACGGAACATCGCTTCACAATAAAATCGCCTATTCTGTTTGCAAACATAGCTGAAACACAAAAATAGCATGCAAAAGCCAAAAAACAGAAAGAAAACGCGCGTAAATTTCAACTGGGGCTGAAGATGCCGTGCTCTACTGCAATCGGCATGCTCAAGTTCAAATTCGGGTTTGCCCGCCTAGCCACAAGTGGGGTGAGGACGATTGCACTAATAATAGAAAGAACTGAACGGAAACAAAAAGGATTTACCTAAAGGCGTCTCCTTCTCTCGTCACCGTCATCATTTGATTTCCAGGGTCAGCAGCCATTGCATGCTCTTTTTGAGCGAGATTGTTTACTATGCAAGGAAACTTAGAAATTTTCTGTGTTTACCATCCTCATCAAGACTTCCATGAATGTACGGTAAACATTGCAAAACGGTTTGACTGATTGCATATCACCATTCACAATGTTGGAAATCACTTTTTACTGTGTTTTTCGCTATCCGTTGTTTCTATACATCTGTACACTTTCTATACACTTCGCATTACTTTGTCGCTTCTATACACTTCGCATTACTTTGTCGCTCCTACGGAGGTCCAGCACTCTGTTCAGTTATTGATCTGTATTCCTCAAAGGAACTAGCTGTTCAAAAGTAAGCCCTGTTTCCTCATTTTTTGGTTAATCACTACGTTTGCTGAACCCCTTCCACATCTGCACAGTTCATGACAAAACACTGCTGAAACATTTCTTATGTCTTTAACATGAGTAAAGAAGGCTTTTGGATTTTACTATAATCAGTCATGAAGTCTCATGTGTAGTGTATAGGCCGTCCGCGGCGTGCTCGGAGAGCAACGCGGTTGCGTCCATTGAAGATAGTTCATGAATGCAGGAGGCGCAGAGGAAACATGCGGCGAAAGTGCACGAGGAAAGAGGAGTGATGCGCAGTGCACACCTTGAGCACTCTCCGCGCCCTGCGCGGACGGCCTATAAACCTAGTGCCCCTTACGCTTATGGTTCGAAAAACAGACTCGACACTTTCTAGAGAACGTTACAATATACGAACTATCGGAGTTTGCACGGCGTCAAGCAAAAGTACATACACATCATTTTTGCACATATATGAAAACCAATTTCAAATCACTTCCTCTTGTGCTTTTTTTTACAAAGCGTAGAATAAAACATACCGCTATGATTTGCAGTAGCTCAAAATAATAATTTTGTAGCCGCTATAAGCCTTCATTTTCTTACAAGGGAAGCTTGTTTAGTCGAAGTAGCCTTTCTATTATAAATGAGATGTATAGCATAATAAAGGGCATAAAACGCTGATTTCAAAACTGCTTCCCTTACCTGCAGGACGTTTATGGACGAGGAATTATGAGCGTTTTTAGAGCCAAAAATTGAATGTGCATTTTGGATGAAATGGGTAGCTAAGTTCTTACATGCCCTAAAATAATGCAACCAGTGTGGTATATTCTGATTCTAGAGCATTTTTTGAATAAAGTGCTCCGATGATTAGCTAGCCAATAAAGAGCTAGAAAAGTAACGAGGCTGTTTTTGCCCTACTTACACATTCAATCTTTTGCTCCAATAATCGCTCATAACTCCTCGTCCATAGACGTTCTACAGATAAGGGAGGTGTCTATATGGCTCTTCCCAACGAAGGCAGGGACCGCAATCAGGCTGTTCGTGCCGGGACCCGAGCGCGCTTTTTTAGGCGTCCTTTAAGTTTTCATCTCCCCTCTCTCTGAGAATCACTTGCGCGCGAATTTCTGGTTTTTGCTTTATAGTTGTAGATATTGCTAACAAACGCGTTTCCAAAAGATGCTTTTATTGCTTGTTACTTGTTACTTATCTGACGACATAGGAAATTTCATGGTGACCTCACAAGGAGAGGATACTTAGTCGAAAGCGCCAATTCAGATGAGACATATATTGTCTTAAAGCGCTTGAAACGCTGATTCCAAATCTGCAGTTTCTAGCTGCGGAACGGTTTTGTAGAGGGATATGAGGGGTGTCTCCCTCTGGGGTCGAGGCGTCCTCCACCATTTCTCCCCCTACTGTAAGCACTGTAGAGAAGTACCAACTAATGGCAACTGACCTAGTGGTAAATGACGTACTTGATAAGGAGAGTGTCAAGGTTTTAATCCTTTTCGCATGCAACTTTATCGCAGTTTTTGCAAAATTGAGCTTCTAAATGGCTTTAAAGCTCTAAAGCTTGAAATTTTGACGATGCTGATGCTATAGAAGTGTTAAAAAGCCAAAGTAATACGAGTAGCATGATCCTTACTGTAATCCTCATTCAAGTTACTTAGCATGTGGCCAGTTGCCACTATACTTGGGGAAATTCGAAATTTTTTTCGAATATTCGAATATCGAATATATTCGAAAATTGAAAATTTCGAATATTCGAATATCGAATAACATTCGAAAATCGAAATTCTCGAATATTCGACTTTCGAATATTATTCGAAAATCGGATATTTCGAATATTCGACTATCGAATATTATTCGAAAATGAAAATTTCGAATCGAATAATATTCGAATATCGAATATCATTCGTTATTCGAATTTCGAATATCATTCGGTCCTCGAATGTTATTTGATTTTCGAATATCATTCGATTTTCGAATACTGATCGAGTAATTTACATCATTGAGACTGCCTAGGAAAGTATAAAACATCTAAGAATAAATTGCTTCATCCAAATGTTAAGAATGGTCACTTTCCTATGTTACAATTTACGATGGAAAAACGGTTTAGTCGTGACGTGAAGAGACTTAGGAACCCAAAAGCTATTCCTGGTGACGGTTATGAAGAGATTTTTCGTACTTCAAAGAAGATTATATACCCTCAGTGAGAGTTGTGATTGGATATACAGCGGTCCCAAGAGTATGTAGA